ACATGTAAATTGACTCGGATCAATACACAAGTTGGGGTTAATTATCTAGTTTATGTTAATGAAGTGGCTAGGATGCTAAATAAATGTTACAGTTCATATTTCTGTATTTAAACGCAGTGCTGAAAAAAAATATACACACACAAACACACACGTACACAAAAACAGCTACACATAGACAGGGAGCCATTGATAGATGCCAGCCAAGCTTGTCGACGACTTATGAGTTGAGCTGGTGGGTATAATATTAACGAGGGCTGATCGTTATCAACAGGTGCAGGTCGAGTTGATCAAGAGAATTTGAACAATTTCAAAATGTATTATAAGATTAAATTTTAATTGCTCGTGTTTGTGAAAGTTTGAAGGTCTTTACAAATTATATCAGGAATTATTTTTTTTTATTTAATGCTTGTGTTAGACGTCTGTACTAAGTGTAACGTACACTAATGTTAGGCACTACCAGAAATGTGTGTGTTTGGGTTGTGCAGAGCGGGTGAGGGAAGCAGAGGCGTAGCAAACCTTCCCGGCGCCCGGGGACAAACTTTCAATTTGGCGTCCCTCCCCCCCCCCTTTTATTTTTTATATTTATAATTAAAAACAAACTACAGCTAAAATGAGCTTTTAATTTCGTTTTTCCCCAACCTATTGGCGCCCGGGGAAATATGTGCTCACCTCCCCCCCCCCACCTCGCTACGCCTCTGGGGGGATGTGTTTGATTCTGTAGTTTATGTTTATCAAATGTTTTTTTTTTTAAAAAGATTATAAGAAAAGATTTACGATGCGCCCATCTGTATTTGAAACATAGGTATTGTTGACTACAATGTCACACACCCACACACACGCACACACACACACATACACACACACGCACGCACGCACGCACACACACACACGCGCACGCTAAAACACACACAAACTCACATACAGAGACACACGCACATAGAGACGCATAGAATTACAATTGCACACAAAGCCACACTCACATATATGCATACGTGAGCACTTACACAAGTAAAGTGACTCGGATCAATATACACAACCTGGGGTTAAATATCTAGTTTATGTTAATAAAGTGGTTAGGATGCTAAATAAATGTTACAGTTCATATTTCTGTATTTGAAACATAGTGCTGAATAAATGTACACACACAAACATACATGTAGGCCTACACGAAAACAGAAACACAAACACGCACATACACGTACAAACACGCATACGAAGACCCACCCTACTTGCACCACACAAACTCACACTTACACACATTCAGTGACTAAAAACATAACATATATAGATTCTAACCTACGATGAATAATTTATGGTTTAGCAGCTAAACTTTAGCTTGATGATAAGAAAAATCTGACCGTTGAAACAACGTCTCCTAGCGTGGAGCTAAAATGGCTGAGCGAGTAGCGATTTGCCAGATAAAATAATACAAGTAGAGAGTAAATATCGAGGGAGAAATGTATTGGGAAATTTACATTGTAACCATTTACGTTAAGACATTACACTTAAGTAGGTTCTAGAGTTCTTCGTGGCAATCGAAGGAGAACTTGATTTGAAGAATAAAGATTTACGTGATATTTTTTTAGTTTAGTAGGCTTTTTCTATTTGATAATCTTTTGATTGCTCATTTTAACTGCACAGATATTAGCAAGATCGGGAACCGTAGTCTTGTTTTTATTGTATTTGTATTTCCATTGAGCTGTTGGTTGCAGCTATTTTTGTTTTATGCGATTTCACCCGTCTCCTTTTAAAAAAGGTAAAGTTCCATTTCAAACCTGACGGTCTATGGTGCAAGTGAAGTAGAGTTCACCTGTTTCTGTTACCTCGGTATAAGAAGAGATAGTGTTGTCAACAGTATGCCCAGACGTATTTACTTTCTATGAGTGGACGTTCTACTGACTTGAACCCTGATTCAAACTCGAGACTCTCGGGTTAACTGTCTAGCGCTCTACCGCTTTTAATCCACAGTCAGTCCTAACTGACTATAGTCTTAACTGACCCTTAAGTCCTAACCCCAGTCGTAACCGACCTTCTGTCATAACTGACCCCCAATCCTAACTGACCCCAGTTGTAACTGACCCAAATCCTAACTGGCACCAGTCCTAACTGACCCCAGTGTTAACTGACCCCAGTGTTAACTGACCCCAGTGTTAACTGATCCCAGTGTTAACTGACCCCAGTGTTAACTGACCCCAGTGTTAACTGACCCCAGTGTTAATTGACCCCAGTCCTAACTGACCACAGTCCTAACTTAGCATCGGCCCACTAAACAAAGATTTAACTGACCCCAGTATTAACTGACCCCAGTCTTAACTGACTCGTCCTGACCCCAGTCCGAATTGACCTCAGTCCTAACTGACCCCAGTCCTAACTGACCCTTTTTACTAAATAACCCCGAGTCCTAACTGACCGCTAGTTCTAACTGACACCAGTCCTAACTGACACCTAATTCTAGCTGACACTAGTTCTAACTGTCCCCTAGTTTTAACTGACCCCTGTCCTAGCTGACCCCCATTTCTAATTAATCCCCAGTCCTAACTGACCCCTAGTCCTGACCCCTGTCAAAGCTGACCCCAGTACTAAATAATTGACCCCTTGTTCTAACTGACCCCAGTCCCAACTGACCCCTTGTACTAAATAACCCCCAGTCCTAACTGACCCCAGTTTTAACTGACCCCCCTGTACTAAATAACCCCGTCCTAACTTATCCTCGGTCCACTAACCCTGTCCTCACCCACCCTCTCCCCTAAATGTGTATTCACAACCCACCCTACCTTGTCGAACATGAATACACCACTACAAACCCGTCAACTACATCCTCTTTATTCACCTAAATACACTAAGGTTCGCTCTGTTTACCGTTGTTGTGAACACTCTATCAGTGAGTTTCTCGTTCTTTTTATATATTCCTTACATTTGTAGTGTTGTTAAGCTCTATAGGCGAGAACCTTTTTCTTAAATGTCTATTCAACATCAAGTGTGGGAGGGTTTATACTAAAGAATAGGGCGGTGTCGTAAAATAACGTAATGTAAAATACAGTATTTCTTCCAGACTTTTTTCTCCGGGGGGGGGGGGGGGGCACTTGATATTTTCGGGGCGGATGGGGGTGGTCAACATTTTCCGGGGGGGGGGGGGGGGGGCGGGGACACTGGTAAAAGTATATGTTTTCTATATAAATTCCATTTCGTTCGGGGGTGGTAGACTTGCTTGGGGGGTAGGGGGGGGGGTCTGAGCCCAACCCCTACCTCTCCCGAACAGATGCCTGGAAGAAACTCTGGTAAAATACTAAATTAACCCTCCCTCCCCCCGGGGAAATAGAATAGTAGTAGGTCGACTAAAACATTCATGGAGAGGGACGGTGTAAATAGAGGCAAGGTCTGCCGGGATTGCATGGGTGTAAATAAAGAGAACCCCTCAAAACAGAGTCCGATGGGGAGGTGTGAATGTAAGCCTTTGCTCTACAGGGACCCCCAAAGGAATAAGTCAAATTATACTTTGAAAAATTACACCATACGACGATTTAGTACTTATAATTAAGTTTATTCCTCTTAACTTACACGGTAGCCAAGTTATCGGCTTTTAAGAAAGCGGAAGTAGAATAATACCACTTCCGGTTCGGTTATCAGATATTGCTGAAAAATTTAAAGAAAACAACACATTTGATATGAAGTCTCGTCAGCATTACTAAAATGTTGCTCAAGTTATTCGGGTTCGTAACCACACGTACAGACAAATGGACATACAATCACAATTACAAAACTAAGTAACTAAAGTAAAAGTAAAGTTTCCCTTTCAAACCTGACGGTCTATGGGGCAAGTGAAGTAGAGTTCACTTGTTTCTGTGACCTCGGCATATGAAGAGATAGTGTGGTCAGAACTATGCCCTGCCGCCTTTACTTTCCCTAACGTGAGTTAGGTACCCATCAGAGCTGGGTAGACTCAGGTAAGTAACTAATGTAACAATAAAATATAATCTTATTAAAATTTAAGTTAATTAAATAAAGCAGGGCACTGTCAGCTTTTCAAACACACGAATAAACATTCAATAATTTAAACCATTAAAATAAACAATACATTCATTTCAAAATACTTCATCGATTAGTCATAAACAAAAAAAAAACAATTATCAATAAACTATTAGCCGCGGTTTTCTTTGAAGATACCCATGAAAGAATCCATAAAATAAGTTGATTACTTAATCAGACAGAGTACGAGGCAACTAGACTTTCTTTTCATGTGATACGGTTGACTGTATCGTTCATGCCTTATGAGGTAATACAATCTACCTGGCTATATTACCTTAGAAGGTAAAACAATCCGAAATTCAATTTCATGCTCCATAAATAATACACAGACACAGACGCACACATACATATACACACATACATATATTCAACAGTGAGATCATTTGTCCTTGTGATCATTTGTCCTGAGATCATTTGTCCTGAAATCATTTGTCCTTTCACCATATATGTATATATATATATATATATATATATATATATATATATATATATATATATATATATATATATATAGGATATAATACATGAGCTTCTGTTAAAGGTATCAACAAAGCATAGCTGTGTGCATGTTTATCCTAATTATACTCTTTTCAGTATCACTTAATTAACTTTTACCCTAACCCATCTTCAAAATATATAAGTAATCTGAGAAAAGTAAACCAAAAAGTTTGATTTTCTAAACCCAAAATATACGGAATGCGTGTTGGAATAGCAGAGCGTTTGGGTGCTAGAGTAAAAGTCACGAGTTCGGATCTCAGCTTGGACTCGTGACTGTATGACGTCCCTGACTCCACCCAGCTCTAAAGGGTACCTGACTTACGTTGGTGAAAGTAAAGGAGGCTGGCCATCGTGCTGAGCACATTATACCTTCATATGCCAATGTCAAGAAACATATGTACTCTACTTCATCTAGTTAGATCTAAATTTTAATCTCAAATCAAAAATGTACAGTCTAGAGGAAACTAAAATCTTACCTAACAGTAGGAGTCTCCATGTCCACATATTGACAAACCGGTTTTTCATTCTAACAACTAATTGTCTTTTTGTTTTAAATTTCTTTTATAAAATTAGCAAAATGCTTTAAAGAATAACGATTTTACTAATACTTAACACAAATAATTGGTAATGTTAACGTTAAGAATTGTATTGATTGTATGCTACTAGGAGATACAACACAATGATTGAACAGCCAAGCATTACTCCAATGTAGTTGTTTTCTGTAATATTTTATCTGAAAAAATAAGGAAGGAAATTCCATATTTTTTGTACAACTTCTTTTTTCACTTCTCCATAAAATTGGGGTTGGGTGGAAATGTAAGGGCCTTCAGCTAGGGGCAGAATTCGTCTTTCACATCGTTTTATAATGTAAACACTTGAAACTTGATGGGGCTGACACGCAACCATTGAAGCATGTCTAATCTTATTATGTTACTAAAAGGTAAACGAATGAGACGATGATTTTCTCAAACACATTATATATATATACTAGCGTACCCGTCCCCCGCGCGTTGCCGCGGGGATAGAAGAAAGTTTAACGAAATGTATTAGAAGGATTTCACCAACGCGTTACCAATCATATGTTCTTAGACGCGTGACCATCTTTTCTAAAAGTGAGTTATTTAAATGTAAACAATGCCTGCGCTTAGATCATAAATATCGGGACACGGGTTTACCTACACTACCGCATGTAAACATTGAGTGTACATTAACCGCTCATCCAAATAATGTTAGAACACACTTTGGTGACCGCCCATGTGTCAGAGACGCAAAGGGGCGTTCTCAGCCCCCCCCCCCCCATTACACTACCGCATAGGCGCGGCGTACGACCCCTGGCTCCTTAAAAGTAATAATGATGCAGATTTCGTCATTCGCTAAAGTGACACAAATCAACAGGATTTTTTTCTTTAACACGTAAAAAAAGTATTTGACGTGTTTTAAACACCAGTGTGACTGATGCAATAAGCTATATATAGCGTTACTAATGGTCTATTATTAGATGCTCGAACTCAATTTCTGACTGGCTTGTCTAATAGTAGATGCTTATTGCATCATTCGCAAAGGGACGAAACTCTACAGTAGGCTCCTCATATTCAAACAGTTATTTTTTTCATCTTTCGCAAGGTGACGAAACTGTACAGAAGGATTTCCTCGCGTTACAAAGTTATTTTTAGAAGCCTGTTGTAGTTTTACCGCTGAATATAGTAGTACCCCTTACTCGCTATGCAGGACGCTCGATTAACGGATGCCAAGTGCTAACTTAGTCGCTCTAAAACTCTGGGTGCCAAACCGTGTATTGACGAAAGTTGCACCCTATATGGCGCCGCCCGTAAGAAACTTTAGTTTTCTTTTTCGCAGAAATATTCTCGGGAGTATTCACATCTACTCCCTAAAGTTTCATGGCACTCGGATGAACCGCATCCGAGTTTAATTTTTAATATACCGTGTATAGAGAAAAAAATCGCTCCCCCGGGAGGGGGGGGGGGGGCGCCGCCCTTGCAATATTAAACAATATTTTTTGCAGAACCCTACCATTCAGTGATCCAATCATCTCCCCAAAGTTTCATGGTACACGGATGAACGGTGTGAAACCGAAATTTTATAAACCGTATATAGAGAAAAATCGCAGCCTCCCGTGGCGCCACCCTTGCGAAATTAAAAAAGGATTTTTTTTAAACAGAACCCTTCTTTGAATTGTTCTAATCAATTCTCCCAAAGTCTCATGGCTATCGGATAACGGTGTCACACCAAATTCGACTTGTATTTTTATATACCGTATATAGAGAAAAATCGCAACCTCCCGTGGTGCCGCCCTTGCGAAATTAAAAATATTTTTTTACAGAACCCTTCCCTAGAGTTTTATAATGAAATCCCCAAAGTTTCATGCCTATCGGATAAACTTTGTCACTGCAATTCACTTTTATTATTTTTATATACCGTAAATAGAGAAAAATCGGACCCACCCAATGGCGTCGCCCTTGCAAAATTAAAAATTATTTTTTTACAGAACCCTTCCCTAGAGTGGTATAATGAACTCCCCAAAGTCTCATAGCTATTGGATGAACTATGCCAAACCAAAATCGACTTTTAGTTTTATATACCGTAAATAGAAAAAAACAAATCGCGCCCTATCGGGGCGCCACCCCTGCGAATTTGAAATATTTTTTTTCGCAGAAACCTCCCCAGGAATATTTTCAACAACTTTCTTAAGTTTCATGGCGATCGTGTGAACAGTGTCACTGCAATTCACTTTTATTATTTTTATATACGGTATATAGAGAAAAACAAATCGCGCCCTACTGGGGCGCCACCCATGCGAATTTGAATTTATTTTTTTCGCAGAAACCTCCCCAGGAATATTCTCAACAACTTGCTAAAGTTTCACGGCGATGTGATGAGAGGTGTAGTAATTCATAAAGGACAAACACACACACACGCATTGCTTATATATATATATATATATATATATATATATATATATATATATATATATATATATATATATATATATATATATATATATATATTGGACGGCATGCTCGAATGGTAGAGCGTTTGGTGGTTGCTAGTTCAAAGGTCTTGAGTTCAGACCTCGGTTCTAACCTGTGGATATAGCACTTGAGTCCACCAAGCCAGGATGGTTACCTGACTTAGTTGGGGAAATTAAACGCGTCTGAGCATAGTGCCGAGGTCTAGAAACATGAACTCTACTTCATCTGCTAAGTGGATTACTAGGTCTTGAGAGAAATCCTTACTTACTTACTTATAGTATTATACTAGCCGTTACGGCCAGGAACTGCACTGGCCTTTGTCAAAAACCTATCTTTATATGACCATGACTTGTGTTTACAAAGCATCATATACTGGTATTACCCGGGTTTAGGAAATATATTACTTTTCGAATTAACCCTAACCACAACCAACCAAAACCAAAAGACACAAAAAAAAACGGAAACATAACGCAAACACAAACGCAAACCCAAACACAAACACAAAGAAAACACAAACGCAACATTAACATAAACACAAACGCAAACGCAAACACAAATACAAATACAAATAGAATGTTGTGCAATGTGCAAGTCGTATGAACAGTTAAAAAAAAAAATTAGCGTAATTTCCTAAAGGTCCTCATTGACGACGAAAAAATGGCGTAAGTGAACGCAGGCAAGCAAAACGGCAGTTAGCGAAGAATCACAGAACATAAGGGCCACTTTAGTGTTGGGTAGCGACGAAATAAGATACAAAAGACACAAGAGAAACACTCCAGTCATGAAAGGCTTGTGTTGTGCTTAGGGGAGGGGAGGGGGGGGGGGTTGGAGGGCAGGTGTGGGGAGGAAGGGGAAATGTTTGCTGGGAAATATCCTGTTTGAGAAACTCAACTACATACGATCCTGATCAGAAAAAAAATGTTTTTTTATTTTTTTTTTATTTTTATTTATGTAATTTAAGTTTCGATTTCCGGGGACGTTTTCCGGTGAAAATGTTGCTTAGGTTTTCGGAGACGTGTTGGGACAGCGTGGTCGTAGGGATAGAGAGCTCGGCCGCTCACTTGAAAGCCTCTCGTTCGGATCTCGTAGTTAGAGTCTGTAGGACGTCAATGTAAAAGGCCCACATAGTAAGACCTCACTAAAATCCAAAACCTACTTTTTCTGTACATGTTAAAACATAAGCTAAAATCCCAACCTATTTTTGTATTTAGGGTTTAAATAATTAAGCATAACCAGTGGCGTAGCGAGGTCGGGTGTCACCCGGTGCGGCACTTAATGGTGTCACCCCCCAGAGGCGTAGCGACTCTTCCCGCGGACAAACTTTCAATTTTCGATGTGCACTCCTCCCTCAAACTTTCGATTTGCACCCCCCTCGAACTTTCGATTTGCACCCCCCCCCCTTAAATTTTTCTCTATATATTTTACTATTTTTTGCCTTGGTGTCCGCCCCCCAAAATGGTGTCACCCGGTGCTGTCCGCACCCCCGCCCCCCCCCCCCTCACTACGCCTCTGAGCATAACTAAAATCCAAACTTACCTCTGTATAATGTCTACATACTCAGATATAACTTAAATTCCATTTTTGTCTTGTAAAAGGCCTAGATATTTAAATAAAAATAAAATCTCATTTGTCTTGTAGGCCTATTTAGGGCCTAAATAATTAAACATAACTAAAAGCCAAACTTAGCTATGTATATGGCCCACATAATTAAACCTAACTAAAATCCCAACCTAGTCTTAGTCTTTAGGGCCTAAATATTTTAGCCCAACTAAAATCCGAAGTTAGTTTTGTAAAAGGCCTACATTTCTAGACCAAAATACAATCCGAACCTATTCTTGTACTTAGGGCCTACATATTTAAACATAACCAAAACCAAAACCTAAATTCCCAAAGGATTGTTCTTAAAATAACCTAAGAGGCAAAGTGATTCGAACTTGGTGAAAGGATCACATCCATTCAAAATAAGATAACCCCAACACTCTTAATCTCGCACTTACTACCACCCCCAGCTGGTTCTAAATCTAGCATGACTGGTTATTTTTATAACTTTCCAATGGCTTTTCAATCTGGTTCATAGGTTGAATGGTTGATGTGAAGATTTATGTTTGAATGGTGATGGTAAGAATCGCTCAGCCGTGAAACTCAATGTTTTATGTGTCATTTGGATGGATTAGGTGAATTTTATGCCTGTATAGCGCGTCGAGGTTGTAAGCTTGGGACAAAGGTAACTTGATCATAACAGAAATGAAGAGAGATCCAAACTTTCTATGTTTTTTACTTGAAACGCTCCTAGGGTAATATATCATGCCATTTTTTTTTAAATAAAGGTATTACTAGCTGTTATGGTTAGGATTATGTTTAGGTGACAAGTTAAATTAAGGCTTGTCCCAGAACGATCATGTCTGTTATTGTGTGGGGTGCAGAGGTTGGGAACCATTTGCCGGGAAATATTAAAAGCGCCAACCCACCTCTGATAGATTCGAATCTTCATTGCGCATGTTTTTTTTTCCCTATAAAACAATGCTGTCTCAAACCTACAAAGAGAGCCGAGGGTCTATTTTAAATTGTTTTGTTGGCTGTTGGGCGAGTCTGCATAAGGATATACAAATAATATAAAGAATATATGTTTATGTTACGATTTATTTTCCTTCTAATAATTGTACTTGAGTGG